TAGGGTTTAGTGTTTAGTGTTTAGTGTTCCAACAAGCGTCAGCACCGCCGCGAAGGCGAAAACGACGCCTAGTCGAAGCTTCTTCCGGCTGTCTTTGCTCTTGTCTCCATCCATGGCTGCAGATGTATGAGACGGGGGTTTCGGGGTCCCGTCCATGGTCAGAAACTACATGTCCAGTTTTGTTGGAGGTTGAACCATGATACAGGGTTCTACAACTATTCAAAGCCTAGGGTTTGGGTTCGGGGTGTCTATCTCGGCGGGGCTACTTAAACCTCAAATCCGAAACCTCTCAACCCTAAACCCTAAACACTGCTCTGAAAACTCTAAGCCTTAAAATTATCAAAGATGCCATGCGCAACTCGGGCAGAAACGGACTCATTGAGCTGAGAGCCTGCGGATGCTGTCGTTCAACAAAGCCCCGGCTGAGAATTCAGGGAACCGCACCTGGAACGGATGTATACGGGAAGTATAGGGCTTAGGGCTTCAGAGCCTTGGGGATTTATGACTTTTTTGTTTTAGGTCTTAGGCTTTGGGACCGTAGAGTGGAGATCTACCAACCCAACCCACCCATCCCATGAAAGTTCGGATGATGTGATGATGTCTAAATACTTTCCTGATACAGGTTGGCATGTGCACAGAACCAGTTGGAGTCAAGCAAGATTGATAAAGAAACGCATGACGATTGCAAACGACACCTCTACACCCCATCTACACCCGACTTTCACACATACATACATACATACATACATACATACATACATACATACATACATGCATGCATACAGACATACATTAATACATACATGTGTACACTCTAACACATATACACATACGCACACATAGCTATGTGTTTATATACTTGCCCAGGGCAGTCTCCAACTGCTATACCCACCAGCCCAACCAACTGCCAAGTCAGTAGCCCACTAAATAATCCCATGGATGTAGGTAAGTAACTAGGCCTCCAAGGCAATATGAAAGCCTAAATATGTATGAACCCTAAGGGTCCATGTGTCCAAATAGTATACGCTGGGCCGCAAAGTACCTACATAGGGACTACTATAGGGCTAAAGAACATACTATGTCAGACATGGACCCTTAGGGTAATGCTCGTCTTTAGGGTTCCTACTTACCGGTGTATTGTTACAATACACGCCAAAGCCTTATTCTCATCAAACAAGGCCCCGATCCAAACCCGCAAATTGTGAGGGTTTAGGGCCGGGCCAGAAGCCTCTAGCTCCTAAACCCTAAAGCCAAAAGCTTTTCTCTTTTGTATTGTATGGGCATTGAGTGCGGCCTATGCGAGGATCCTTGTGTGGCGGAGATGAGCCAGCTGCATCTCTGAATATTGGAGCTTCCAGAAAGTGAAGAATAGTGTTAAAGGAAACTACAGGTGGGGAGTTTAGGGTATATAGGGCTTCTATAAGGCTTCCATAAGGTATATAGACCTTCTATAAGGCTCCTATATACAATGACTACCCACCTGAAAATGTCTAGATAGTGCAATCTTGCAAGATAATATAGGTGAATTAATAGTTAGAATAGGGTTTTGGGGCCCATTATACTATAATCAGAATAAGGAACCACCAAAATTGTATCGGTAATTGTTTAAGCCCTATATTAAGCCCAAACTTTAAACCCTATTTAGGCCTTATATTAAACCCAAACTTTTAAACCCTGCTTAAACGGCCCCCTCTCTGGGGCCCAACCTTTCCTAGGAAACTTGGCTCTATCCAAGCTCAGCTGGCCCTCTCCCACAGTGCCAAAACACCGCCCGCAGCAGCCACACGTGATTTTAGATTGCCCTCACGGCAGTTTTAAGAAGAAGTTGCAGCTCTTTCCACGAAAGGACTTGGGGGTCAGACGTCATCAAATGTCCGAGCGGCCCTACTTAGATCCTCAGCTTTGGAAAGTACCTTAAGGTGCCGAAGCGTTTTTAAAATTAACTGCGACTGAACTTCCTGAAGGCCGCGTGGTGCATCTCTAAGGTGCCGGGTGGGTTTAGCCTAGGTGAATGTCAGAGGTCGTCAACACACTGGAACCGAAATCCTAAGCCCAAAAACTCTAAACTCAAACCTTAGAACCAACCCTCAACCCTAAACCCGAAAACTCTAAACAGCAGGATTCCTAGCAGGCAGCCGCGATCCACCAGCCGGGAAGTCAGGACCCAAACCAACTTGGTGCTTGTAGGGTTTCGGGCCTACAAAGCCATGAAGCCCGTTGAACCTAAACAAGTCTTGGACCACTGAACCCTCCGCACTGGGCCGAACAACCTGCCAAGACGTGTTCTCGCACTAATCCCAGGATACTCTTGCCTGAATACAATTGCAAGGCCACCACCCCAAGTCGGAAGAGCCCAACAGCCGGACTCTCAAACTTCGCTCTGCTGACACAAGGTGAAGGATCAGCAGTCTGCGTGGATGTTACTGTTGAAAATACTGATAATACTGACTGACAATACTAATAATACTAATGCTAGTGGTGGTGGTAGTAGTAGTAGTAGTAGTGGTAGTAGTAGTAGTAGTAGTAGTAGTAGTAGTAGTAGTAGTCGTATGAGTATGGCTCGTGGATGCCCTCAAGCTCACAAAGGTCTCCCATGCAGGGCTATTCCAGTCTCAGCCACTCCCAGAACTCCCCCGTGGTTTAGGGTTTAGGGTTTTGGGGTTTAGGGTTTTAGGGTTTTGGGTTTTGGGGTTTACGGTTTCGGTGGCAAGATACGGCAAGATAAGAGCTGCGGGCAGTTCTCTAGATTGGGTTCCCTTTGAGGGTCCTGTTTATTAGGGTGCCGTACAATTTTGGGGGATCTAAAATTAAAGCGGAGACCATGATGTAGGGGTTGTCGGAAACTCAGAAGCACTGGCATTGAACCACAAGGGGGGTCAAGGCTTACAAAGATAAACCCTAAACCCTAAACCCTAAACCCTCACTTTATTTATGCTCTGATCCTGCATCTTCCGACCTAAGGCGGTCGCGGTCGCGGATTTTGACGGGGCCAACTGCTCACTCCTCCGTCTTCTCAGACTCCAGGTGCTTCTCATAGGCAGCACCTACATTGGGTCATTGTGGTTGGGGGGGGTGCTTTGAGATGGAATTAAGTAAGTATCCCTTCTTCTGGGGTCCTCACACGAAGGATCCTGCTCTGTCGGATCTTGCTTAGGCTCCTGTCTCTCTTCACACTCCCACCTGCAGTTAGCGGGGTAAGAGGCTTCGGTCTCAGATGGTGTTGTGGGGCAACTGAAACACTTACTTTAGATATCAACATAGAGATCTGGAGTTCTGAGCAATCAGATCCTGTGATTTACTCTCTCACGCTCTCTATCTTACGCTCTTGCTCTCTCTCTGTCTCTCCTTCTCTCTCCCCCTCTCTATCACTCTATGTGTGTGTGTGTTAACATGCTATAATTGTTACCCTAAACCCTAAACCCTAAACCCTAAACCCTAAACCGCCCTGTAAAGCCCCTCGGTTCAACTCTCTTTGCTCAGAACTGAACCCCATGTCCGAGATCCTGATCCGATGGAAGGCTCGAGCAGTGCAGAACAACGAGGTCACGACATCCCTAAACCCTAAACCCTAAGCCCTAAACCCTAAACCCTAAACCCTAAACCCTAAACCCTAAACCCTAAACCCTAAGCCCTAAACCCTAAACCCTAAACCGTACGTTTCTGCTTCAAAGCGTTTCTGTAGGGGCTTATAAGGGCCTCATAGCGTTTTATAGAGTGCTGCCGAGGTTTATAAGGGTTCTTACATGGGTTCGATACGAGGCTACAATAGACTCACTAGACCTTGATGCTCCAAGAGTGTAAATAGGGATTGAGTCTATCCGTGACACTTTTCGGAAGCGTACGTAAGCTGAAGTAAGGCAGGGGATGAAATCCCTACTTTCAGACCCCAAAGAAGGGTGCGGCTGAATCTCTCCCCTGAACCCGAATGGCAACTTTGAATAGAGGTTAGGGATAAATATCATACTGCAATCATAACACAAAGAACCCTGAGCACTAGTATTTGCACTTTTCAGGCTTCTATGGTACATGCAAACCTGAACTGAGGAACCCGAAACCACACCCGAAACCTGAAACCCACACATCCCCATGAGTCAAACCACAACCTGGGTTGTGGAACTTCCAGGGCCAAGGCGATCCATGAGGGAGCTGGCATCACCGGAGAATTTCACCTGCTTCGCCCAATTTGCGAGAAATGCGAACGATTCCCTTCAGGCTCCGCAGTAATCCATGTTTCTAAGGCTATAGGACCCAAAGACCAACTATCAAGGGCTACATAGGAAGGAAGGATTTGGGCGCATAGGAATTAGGACTTTGGGGGTTCAGAGTTCTCGGGCTTGGACTAGGCTCCTCAAGCCAAAAGGCTTGCACAAGGGCGTCTACAGTCAAGATATTGCTCACACATCCGATAGGCACGGGATGCTGCTGTTATTGAGCATGTGGACATGGCCACAGCCCACTCGCACAATGATCTCGCTGTCCACGTTGAGCATTGCCTTGATAACCAATGCTCGCTCCGGCAAGTGCACACTAGGCCGCCTGGTCTCTAGGCCCTTCCGACGTTCCGGGCTGTTCAGCTTCTTCCAGCTCCGCTGCAGTTGATTTTGCCAAAGCCTCTTCCGGCTCACTCTCGTCATCGAAACGACTGGAGACGAAACCAGCCACAAGCTTGAAGAGGGGTACACCAATGTTCCACAGAAGAGTGAACACTTTACCATTCACTCGCTTCTCCGACAGAGCCAGGCTTGCAGCTGCCACAAGAGCCACATTTTCCTTAGCAACCATGACTCGCCATTCCTGCTTGGTGAAAAGACGCGCAGATAAAAACCTTAGCCGTGTGGCAAAACGCAGTGTTGTTGAAGTATTCAAGTAGAGCAAGCCTCCATAAACAGAGCATGCCTCATCCTTTGCCTTCGTGGAGTAGACCATTCGTACGCAGTGCATGGCAACCAGCCAGAAATAGCACAAGTACCCCATGCCCTGCACGAAGTGGAAGCTAGAGTTTGCACATAACGCTGCCAAGATGATGTCCTTGCTGAGGTCAAAGCCTGCACCAATACCGGGTGCCACGTAGAAGACATAGCACTGGAGGAAGTCAAGCCCACTAAGGCCTGGATCGTTTTCAGACAAACCTACTCGCAGAAAGGCCTGGAGAAGCAGCCAAGCACTTGCCGTTAGCAGCAGGAACTGCCAGGTTGCCCAAGGAGCTCCGGTCTCCGAGTTGAGGGCACCAGTCTTTGCATCGTCGTGCAAGACTGAGGTCAGAAACACCACGTGAGCGAGGAACAACGTGAGCGCCTGTAGCCTTTCCACCACAAAGTAGATGATCACCTTTGAGATGAGATGGAAAGGCAGCAAGATCGCCGCGCAAGACAAGCGCAGCAGCAAGGCTACCCCTTTGAGACAAACCCGGATCGGACAGCAGGCACATGTGAGCAGCCTGTGATACCAAGGTCGCACCGGCTCGCTCTCCTCCTTGGAAAATGACGTAACTATCGCGTCACTGGTCTTCAGGGTTTCAGTAGCTCGAACCAACTAGATGTGTACCAAAAGACACACCTCTAGTGTCAAACTCCCCGGCTTATCCTAAGCTTGTGAATTACACAATGGCAATAATCCACCTTTCCTGAACAGCGATTATCGCAGGACACCAGTATTGTCAAGATAGTGAATGGATCAGGGGCTTATTCAAACAGGGTCTGCATTGCCTCATATGCCCCTAGCTCGGGCCCTAAGAGATCTGTCCGGCGTCGCTGTCTTTGGAGGAAGGCGCAGCTCCGGTCAACATGGACGCCATCCAGCATTTCAGGCTGAAGCCCCTGCCTTTGCGAGCAGACGAAGGATGCAATCAAGAGCTATGGGTTTAGGGTTTAGGGTTTAGGGGTTTAGGGGTTTAGGGGTTTAGGGTTTCTATACTGAACTTAGGCCCCTAGCAAAAATTATAATTTTAGCTGCTTCTTAGGGATTATAGTAGCCAAAGATTAAAAATTACTTCTAAGTACCCCTAA